GTTTAGGAATGACCAGGATTTCTAGGAATAGTCTGGAGGTATTTGGGTGTTTTTCCAAGAGAAAAGTTGTCCAGAAGGTTGGTGGGAATTGTGTCAGTTGGGTTTAGGAATGACCAGGATTTCTAGGAATAGTTTGAGGAGATTTTGGTGCTTTTTCCAAGAGACAAGATGTCCAGAAGGTGGGTGGGAATTGTATAATTTGGGTTTAGGAATGACCAGGATTTCTAGGAACAGTTTGAGGAGATTTTGGTGCTTTTTCCAAGAGACAAGATGTCCAGAAGGTGGGTGGGAATTGTATAATTCCATACATAGCAATACTTCTGTAGGTTCTAACCAATTCCTTGTCTTTTCCTGCCTTTTCCTGGATTTTTCCATGCAGAGTTTCCGATTTGGTCCCGAGATTGCTTATGTTGGAGCAACAATCCTGGATGTTTGCAAAGGGATCCGGAATAAGACGTTGGTGGGTGGGAACCAAAAGGGTGAGTTGTGCTCTCTCAGCTCAGGGCCATTTAATAAAATTGATTTTATTAAATGATAATTAATTTTATTCACTAATAACAACATAAATAATAAATATGAATGTCAGTGGTAATAAATAAAATTAATAAAAATCGATTATAAAATGTAAATTCAGGTTTGCTCTTTAAGTTCAACGTTTAAAAAGGTAATTGAATTTATAAAATTCAATTTATAAAATTCAATTGATCTATTAATTAATAATTAATTTATGAAATTCAATTAGGAGTAAATATTTGTAATAAATAATGTATAATAAAGTTACTAATAATTCATAATGGATTACGTTAAATTGGTTAAATTTCATTTCAAAGTGAAATTTGAAATGACATTTGAGTTTAGCATAGTTGATAATTAATATATAATTATTATTCATAAAATATTATATCATAATAGTATGTAAATAGTTGTTGATAATTAATAATTTAATTAATAAAATAAACTAATTATGTTAATAATATTCATAGTTGAATTAATAGATTTTATTTTATGAATAAATTTTATTTAAATATTATTTTATTTAAATATTATTTTATTTAAATGCTATTTTTTAAATTCTATTTTTTAAATTCTATTTTATTTAAATTCTATTTTATTTAAATTCTTATTTACAGGGTTTTTATTTAAATTTTTTTTAAAATCTATTTTGCTTAAATTTTATTTTGTTTAAATTCTGTTTTCTTTTCATTTTATTTTATCCACATTTTATTTTATTTTAATTTTATTTAATTTTAATTTTAATTTTTTAAATTTTATTTTCTTTAAATTATTTTTTCTTTACATTCTATTTTATTTACATTTTATTTTATCCGCATTTTATTTTATTTAAATGTTATTTTTATTTTAATTTTTTAAATTTTATTTTCTTTAAATGCTATTTTTATTAAATTCTATTTTCTTTTAATTCTATTTTCTTTAAATTCTATTTTATCTCATTTTATTTTATTTAAATTTTATTTTATTTTTATTTTAATTTTTTAAATTTTATTTTCTTTAAATTCTGTTTCCCTTGAATTCTGTTTCCCTTAAATTCTTTTTTATTCACATTTTATTTTATTTAAATTTTATTTTATTTAAATTTTATTTTCTAAATGAACTTTAGGATTTAGCATGAAAAATTGATTAAATTTATCAAACTAATAAATCAGTAACCTAATTAAATTTATATTAAATATATTAATTAATACAGAAATGTAATCCCTTTCATCTACAAAAACATGTTAAATATGTTAAAAAATCTGTAAATTAATTAAATTTATGAAATTGAGGATAAATACGATCCATAAAGGAGAAATAACTAAACAAATAACTCTGACCCGTGGAGTCCCTCGGATGCGGATCCTGATTCCCGGGATCCCTGGGAATGTGTCCGTGCAGGCGCCGTCCGGGGCTCCCTGGAAGGGAAGATCACGGTCCTTTCCCGCAGCAATTCCAGCGTTTTCGACGACGCCGTCAAACTCACCGGGAGAGACAGACCCATCCCCATCCACGTCATCGGGGTAGGTGGCGAATTCCCGCCTTTGGAGTCGATATTCCTGCAAAAAGCGGGAATCTGGCGCGGCCGGGAAGTGATTTGGGGCCGTTTTATCCTCAAATCCAAGCGGGCCAAATCCCATTTTTAGGCTGATTTATTCCGGTTTTATCCGGCTTAGGTGGGAACGACCAAGGCCAATTCCCGCCTTTGGAGTCGATATTCCATCAAAAATCGGGAATCTGGCGCGGCCGGGAAGTGATTTGGGGCCGTTTTATCCTCAAATCCGAGCGGGCCAAATCCCGTTTTTAGGCTGATTTATCCCGTTTTTATCCGGCTTAGGTGGGAATGCCCAAGGCCAATTCCCGCCTTTGGAGTTGATATTCCGTCGATATTCCATCAAAAATCGGGAATCTGGCGCGGCCAGGAAGTGATTTGGGGCCGTTTTATCCTCAAATCCGGGCGGGCCAAATCCCGTTTTTAGGCTGATTTATCCCGGTTTTATCCGGTTTAGGTGGGATGGGAATTGTATAATTCGAGTTTAGGAATGACCAGGATTTCTAGGAAGAGATTTGAGGGAATTTGGGTACTTTTCCAAGAGAAAAGTTATCCAGGAGGTTTGATGGGAATTGTATCATTTGGGTTTAGGAATGACCAGGATTTCTAGGAATAGTTTTGAGGGAATTTGGGTACTTTTCCAAGAGAAAAGTTATCCAGGAGGTTTGATGGGAATTGTATCATTTGGGTTTAGGAATGACCAGGATTT